CTGGTAAGGTACACTCCGATTTCAGAGATTAAACTGTGGACAAGGCAAGTCTTAGAACTGAGAAAATCCAGGGAGGTTGTTGAGTGAATGAACTCAAGTAGAGATGCCGGGGACCCCAGAAGGTGTGCCTGCCCCCGAGGCCCTGGGCACTTGGGTGTAGGGCAGAGAGCAAGAGGGTGCAGTGACACCCGGGGTCCCAGCTGCAGTCCATCCGGCCTGAGCGCTGCCTTGTCAGACTGTAGCTGAGACTCCAGGAGAGAATGCTCTGCATCCGGCCTCACCGCCAGAATTAGCTACTGCTTTTTCATGTCTTCACTTTTTTTATTGTGGTAACTTAACATGAAATTTGCCGTTTGAAGCCCTGGCCGGGTAGTTGGTTAGAGCATCATCCTGATATGCCAAGGTTACAGGTTCGATCCCTTCAGGGCACACACAAGAATCAACCAATGAATGCATAAATCAGTGGAACAAGAAATTGATTTTTCTCTCTCTATCTCTCCCCCCTCCCCCTTCCCCCTTCCTCTCTCTCTAGTAAAAAAAAAAATTGCCATTTGGATAGTTTTAAGTGTGCAACTCAGTGGCATCAGTTACATTCACAATGTTATGCAACTATCACCACTATCTGGTTCCAAAATTGTTTCATCACCCCAAGCAGAAACTCTGTACCCATTAAACAAAATTTCCCCGTTCCCCCTGCTCCCAGCACCTGGCAACCACCATCCTCCCTTCTGTAGCTATGAATGGACTATCCGGGGTATTCAGATCAGTGGGCCATGCAACATTTGTCCTCTTATGTCTGCGTTATTTCACTTCGCTTGTCTTCAAGGTTCCATCCATGTTGTAACAACATATGTCACCCTTCCTTCTTATGGCTGAATACAGTACTATCCTATTGTACGTATATACCACCTTTTGTCTATCCGTTTATCTGTTGATGGACACTTGGGTTGTTTTTGCCTTTTGGCAATTGTGTGAATGTTGCTGCTATGAGCCTGGGTGCACAAGCATTTGAGTTCCTGCTGTCCACTCTCTTAGGTACATACTTAGGAATGGAATTGTGGGATCACACGGTAATTCTACGTTTAGCCTTTTGAGGAACGGTGAGTGCACTGCTCTTTAAGAATAGCTCATGCAGGTAAAGTGCTTGGCAACCAGCAAATGGTCATTACTACCTGCATTGATGCTTGTGAAGAACTGTTCGCAGATTCCATCGTTGCGACGGATGAAACCCTGACTGTGTCAGAGTCTGCGATGGGGAGCGTTTGAAGTTCACAAGCTAACTTGGTTTCAGGGTGAAAGCCACACATTCTGATAGTCTCGGGAGGCAGGGACTTTCTTGGAATCCAAATTCTGTTTAAATCCAAAGAGGCCCCCAGACCAGGGCCGGAGTTACTTACAGGTGGGACAGGGCGGTCACGTCTGCGAAGATGCCCTCTGGGAGGGTGGAGATGTCGTTGCCATGCAGGGACCTGAGGAGAGAGAGGCTGTGTGCCTCACGGGGAGAAAAGAGCCCTTGCAGAAA